GGGAACCGCGGGGCGGGGACTGGGGGAACCGCCCGGGGCGGTTAGCACTGCCCGGCCCTTTAAGCAAAGAGAGTAAGAACCCTTCTAGGCAGAGCCTAGGTAGGGAATTGTTTCTCTAATATTCTAAAACCGCGTGAGGAGGACATGCCCGATCTAACGCTAAGCCAGAAGAGGTTGTTTTGTTTCCTAGTTTTTTCCATCCAAAAAACCCAAACCAAAATAATTCAAAAATAAGCAGCAGGCCAGGCCGCAGGCCCGCGGGCATCGCGAAGGAGGAGCGAGGCAGGGGGGGCGAGGAACGAGCAAGGGGGGAAAGGAGGGGGGAGGAGGGACGGGGAGAGGAGGAGCACGAGCGAGGAGCAGGCAACGGAGGGGGTATTTTTGTACGCTGCAGGGCCATTCTCTACCCCACCGCCCGAAGCCGAGGCCAGGGAGGCGGCACAGGTCAGGCGCAAGAAAAATGAGAGGGACGGCCACGTCCGCGCAGCAAGCCTCGGCCTCAGGATGGCGACTCACGCGGAGGCCGCAAGCTGCTGCACGTGCAGGCCGCGCGAAGACGCCGAAGCACGCCCACGTCAGGAACGGCGGCACGACGATCCGGACTGGCCGTACGGACAGAGCCTCGCCTTAGGCAGCACCCCGCACGCCAGCTTGCGCAGCGTCTGCACCCCGTAGTGGCCCAGGTGCTCGCCGCATGACTGGGCCAGCCCACGAAGAAACACGCGCCCAACGTGTCCGCACTTCAGGCAAGCATGGGTCTTCAGTTCGGGCCAATACCCCAGCAAATGGGACGAGTGGATTTCCACCCTCTGCACGGTGATCTTGCCCTGGCCCACCATCTGGACTCCTTGCAGGACGCCTTTGTGGCATGGCGTGGCAAGAAAAGCCTCCAACCGCGGGCCGCTCGCGCTGCAGCCGCACCCCTTGCAGTGGAAGCTCGAGCCCACACGGCCGCTCAGCTCGTGCTCCGACAGCGCCAACTTCACCTTGAAGCCGCGGTGCCCGGCCCTCGTAGGCTTGATGCGGCGCGGCTCCGCCTCTGAGGCCTTCAGGAACGCAATCGTGAGATGTGTGCGCACCGTGGACCCAATCGCTTCGGCCATCTCCAAGCTGGTGACCGTGCTGGAAGGCACCTGGACCCGCGACGCCCAGTCGCCCGCCAGCTCATCCGCGATCTGGTTGGCAGCGTACCAATTCGGTGGCACGCCGCGCGCCTCCGCCACCTCCTGGTCCAAGTGGCTCTCGATCTTCACCACAGGCAAGGGAGGGGGTGGGGGGGAGGGCGAGGAGGTGGAAAGACAGGAGGAGGAGGAGGAGGAGGAGAAGGAGGAGGAGGAAGAGGAGGAGGAGGAGGAGGAGGAGGAGGAGGAGGAGGACACACGGATCGGCAGAGCGCCGCGTGAGACAACTGCGACTCTTCCCACCCGGCCCACATTTGCTCAACATCGGTCCCCCACGGTGACCCTCTCTGGGGCCCACCCTGACCCGCCTTCCGAGGCGGAGCCCGCCGTGGCGACCGCCAACCCGAATGTGATGACCCAGGCTGGGTTTCCGAGCTTTTGAGATACGTTCTACGAATCCCAGATGTCCTTGGCATCGCTCGGACGTGTGCGTTTTCTTCGGCAAGGGCCATCGAGGAGCATGTTTGTTCACCTTG